TAACATTAGCCGTTCAGTAGTTATTCAAAATTCAAAATTTGGGGGCCCCCCTGCCCCCCCAGGGGGCTCAGATTTTTGGGGTCTATGTCTGAATCGAATGTCTATAGGGTAGAGATGAATCCCTGAAATTTTCATGCTTTCTTCCAGAAGTGCACGATTGTTATGCTTATCGGCCCCACTACTCTGAACCTTGGAAGAATGACCGTTAATTTTACAATGGATACCTAACCTCCTAGCTTATTTCTCGGCGGTGAAAGGAGTTAGTATAAAACGCAAACCAGGTAAAACGCAAACCCCGAAAAAAACCGGCAACTGTTGGATGGTGACAGGATAAATTGCTAACTCGGCGTTGTCGTCCATCTGTCAAACTGGTGGCTAGTCAAATCGAGTTTATGTTCCATGTTTTCGGAACGGGTAGTCTTCAGAAAGATCCGGAAACAGCATAGAATAGCGGAATTCGTTGCGGAATCATTCTCGCACTTGAAACTACCAATTTGGAGTTCTCCAAAATTTGAATAGCTGGAAAACGTTTAAAGATGAGTAAGAGGAGTAGCACAAAGGGGGCGAGCAGAGGTCCTTGGAGGTCACAAGTTGGACAGAGATTATAAAGGGATGCGGAGAGGAAGGGCGGGGAGGAGGCAAGAGAACGAAGATTGATGCGGAGGGGTGTGGGAATGGGAATGGCTAATGAATGATGGGGAAGGGTGGATGGATGCAAGAGGGGGAGAGTCCATCCAATCATCCGTTTCGACACTAATTTTCAAAAATAGGGATTGCCGTGGCGGCTATCCAAGGGGCTGCGCCCCCTGGACCCCCGGTCACTCGCTACGCGAGCCATTTCTCTGATTAGTTGGACATTTGATCACTAAGGCCTTGTCTCCACGAGCCGTTTCGCGAGATTTGTCCCAGGGAAAAATCCCACTTACGAAGTTGGGAAAAATATTGAGTTAACCAATATTTTTCCCAGTACCAAGTATGGTACTTGTACTCCTCGGACCCACTGAGAGAAGAAGAAGAAGTGAAAACGAATTGTGCGATATTTTATTCATTACTACATTGTTAATGTTTGTTTAGTTAAAATAATGGGTCTAATTGTCAATTCAGTGCATTTATTATTTTAATCCCGGTTAAATACTCGACTTTAACTAATTTATCTTCCCGCGCAAACTAGTCGCAGGACTGTATGAGCCCCGTCCCGTGGAGACGGTAACTGGGAAAAATCCCAGAAGTTTCATTCCTGCGATTCGAACTTGGGATAAATCCCATGAAAACGTCCCGTGGAGACAAGGCCTCATGTATATACATGTAGGAGACTCTCAAGACAAAAATGATTTTGTCACAGACAGAACCTTGTTACCGGAGTGTGCCATCACTTGCACATCAATAAATATGTGGAGATGAGGCAATAATGGGGATCGATCATTTCTTGAAAAACGCATTTGATTGGGCCCAGATGGCACACGGTTATTCATAGAACGTTCTATGGATATCCGAAGAAAAAGACGAATTAAGAGAAATGCAACATTACTGAACTCTACGGATAATTTAAGATTGGTTCTCTCCAAGAACTTAAAAAAATCATAATCAAAGGGCAAAACTAGTCTGAACTTCAAATTTTTGGAACATCGAAATGAAAGTGTACCTGTCAAAAGTAGTGAATCAGTCTTTGCAGAATTGGTCGTTTAATGAACAACCAACCGAATTAAGATTAAGAATTTACTTGTTAGGTATTAATGTCCTGAGTGCTGCACACTATGAGTTTTATGGACGCTCAGATTAAGAACTGATTCTCAGGTATAACAAAATCAAAAACAACGGCGTTCAAATGATTTTTGTCATATACAAATGATAGTGAGTCAATTAATGAATTTAACAGGTGGAAATCAAAGAATTGAGGTAAGCTCCCGAGCTGATTATAAGTACCTACTTCACGAAATAAATTGAAGGATTGTAAAACTTGACAAACGATCGATATACGACATACGCATGGCACATTGAATTAAAAATATCAAAATTAATTTAGAAAATTTTCAAATAATTCACATCTTCAAAAGGGGCTGAACAATTTTACTTCAGTCTACAAAAACAATGTTGAGTACTATTAAAGCTGTTTGATTTTGCGTACTCTCAGCTGTGCTATCAGAAAGCACAATTATTGAAAGAGGAATATAAGCATGACGTACCTATAGGAAAAAATAAATCCTGACAAAAAGGGAAAACATTCGTAATTTTTCGACACGGTTGAACTGATCAGGGTTTTTTTTTTTTAATTTATTTTTTTTAATTGTTTGATTAAGTTTATTACATAGTTTACAATATACATAAATATAATATAAAATATAAAATACAACTGTCAAACAGACTGATGAATTACTGTAAAAGAGAAAAATAAACACAACACCTTGGTTCTCATTCACATACAAACTTTTTTCAATACTAGTTTCTTACTTGGTAAGAATATTTTTCTTGTATTCTAAGGCTGATTTGCCCAATTTACCTCGTATTGTAATGAACGCTACAAGTGAAACCAATGTTTGATTACCACAATAAAGTTATGATAAGTTGAATTTTATTAGATTTTTATTTCTATCTTCTGGCGTTTATTCAACATATTCCTCTTGACAATATTATTGCCTAAATGCGAGTATTCACGAACTATTTGTCATTTTATGCAATACATTCAACTTCTTGCTCATTATGTTGTTCAAATCAAACCTCATTAATTGAAAAAAGTGTTGAAATTGCTGACATCTTACATCCCATTAAACTGTTTGTCAATTTTTCTTCTCAAAAAATTGACAACGCATGTCGCAATGATGATCACAGACTCCTCATTAGACATTCTTGCCACGACAAGAAAGCCAAGGCCACCAAGCAATGCAGAAGCATTATGCCTGATGTCCGAGGAGTAACTGCTTAACGATAACAAATCCTCTGCCAGGTCAAGTTCAAAAGATGTTACGTGTCCAGTGTCTCTTATCTGGACATATAGATTTCTTAGACTGTCCGGGTCCAACTCCGGAGCGCCAAAGAACAGAACTAAATAAACAAATTACACGATCAAATTAAGTCCCAATCAAATGAAAATTAAGATAAATTTAATTTACAAACAGGGAGTAAACTCATTAGGAACATAGACTTGGAAGGGAGGTTGATTAATCTACCCAAGGTTTTGGGCTGCCAATTTACATATACAAAGGCTGTCCCAAAAAATCTGAAAGTTGATCCGCTCTGAGCAACCTATTAAATGTATAGAAAAACGGTTTACATAATTTTGTGGTTTATTTCATAATCTTGATAAAGATCTCTGTTAGAGCTCATTCGTGAAAAATTCCCCTTTTTACGGCAATTTTTCGGCGACGTGTAAAAAAAAACCCTGCGGAATTTTCGAGTCATTTTTCTCTCTTCATACCTCGTCTTTTTAATGGCAAATGAACTTTGGAAATTAATTTTACAACCTTTTAGAAGCAAGATACGACAAACCTACAACAATTTTCATGAACGAAAGTCTAAAGCTCAGCTTAGCCAAGATAGGCTTTGGCGCCCATGATTCGTCTCTTCATCGAGTTACCTCTCGAAATTCAAACAGTGGTAGATCTTACTGTTTCACCCACAATCTCATGAGCCACGTACTTAGGAACATCTAAAATATTGAGAGGGATGACAGTTTCTACATATATAAAATTGATTAGGATTCCAGGTGGATAAAATTGATTACTTTAGTGGAAGCACAATTTTCGGGGGCTGCAAAGACTTCATTGAGGCTTCAGAAGTCCGTTACCAGCATCTTTGTTGTCAAAAAATATGGTTGGGACGTCAACTTCTTGACAGATTGGAATTTGCTGATCTCCTAGTGGAAGGAAATGTTCGGATTTCGTGGTAACTGTTATAGATTAGTCGTATCTTGCTTCTAAAAGATTCATTTCCAGTCTTCACTTACAGAGTGGAGGTGGAGAGTGAAAAATGACTCAAAAATTCCGGACGGGTTTTTTTTTAATACGTCGCTGAAAAATTGCCGTAAAAATGTGAATTTTTTACCAAATGAGCTCAACAAGAGCTCTTCAGAAAGCTAATACAGTAAGCTACATGATTCTGCAAACTGTGTTTTAATATCTTCAACAGTTGGCTCAGAGGGGGTTAATTCAGTTTTTTTGGGACAGTCTTTGAATCCTTCTTCAGATGTAAGAAGGGTTTCGTAGCTCACCTCTGCTAATAAGGTCACACGAAACTCAGTCATAATTTAATGACTGCTTAGACCATGCTCTCTTAATACTTGAGTTAATAAGGCTTTTTAATACGTCGTCTGAAACTGCGAGCAACTAAATAAACCACTGTAAAACTCATGCACTCACTGTCCACCTTAATGCCTTACACATACAGCCTGCAACCCTCAATTCCCTTCCTCACTACTACCCCGATGAAAGAATACGTTTCTGAAATAGGCCGTTGAGATAGAACGTAGGGCTCACAACCTTTTGGCGCTTAAGCCCTTTTAAGATGAACAGCTAAATTGTCATTACTCAATATTCATACAAAGGTCACTTACGTCTATTCTGAAAAACACAGTTTAACTTACTTTGGGCCCTTTGGTGGGCCTCTTCTTCAATCTGCTGTTGTTCTTTAATTTGATTCATCGTGTCATCTTTGGGTCCTTGAAGAAAAAAGAAACAAACAAACAAAAATTAGCCTTTCATGTAAGAAAAGTTTCATGAGTAGTATTCTGATGAAAAAATAAGTTTCTGAAATAGGCCGTTAAAATAAAAACTAAACATAAGCGTTTTACGAATGTTGACTTTAAGATTTAGGCCTTCCTTGTCTGTTAGTTAAGGGTTTCTGTCCAACTATTTATGAAATGATTATAAGGTAGAGAGAAACAAACCCAATTAAGTAACAGCTGGAAAAAAGACCGTTGAAGTTGAAGTATTAATGTTCCATAAAAATCACTGTTTCAAAGCCACTCTAAGTCCAATTTTCAATAAAAAACATTTTTGTGGGTCTTGAATTTTACACAAAGGGTGAGTAACGGAACTTGCTTGACTCATTTCATGCTCAATTCATTTTCTGAAGGGCTCAAGCGCCAAAATAAGGATTCATGCTAGACTCAAGTCTCAAGAGCTCACAGGCTTTTTGGCGCTTAAACCATTTTGAGCTGAACAGCTAAATTGTCATTACTCAATATTCATACAAATGTGATTAATTTCTATTGCCATAAATACAGCTCAACCTACTTTCTTCGCTTTCGTGGGAATATTCCTTCCATAATTCCTCTAGTTCTGCTTGAGGATCAGTTATTATGGTATCATCTGCGAGGCATTGAAAAAAAAAAAACAAACAAACAAACAAACAAAACAGAAATTAGCCTTTCATTTAGGAAAAGAAAAGTTTAATGAAAACACTTATGTGGAAGTGAATAAATAAGGAAAATGATGAAGAAGTCAATGAAAACTACTCAAAATAAAAAAAGAGAAAAAAATGGAGAAAACAAGAGTGACATTAAATAACCATTGCCCACTGGGGACAATTCAAAGACTGTGCCACTTGGCTTGCTTCTTTGATCAACTGCTTCTAGCAGCTCAGAATGGTCTTTGGTGCAGCTATATAAAAAGAGATAGAGAAAAAAAGAAGAAAAATAGAGTTAGTAAATATTGCAGACGGAAAAGTTAAGGTACCCTTACAATAAATAACGCTTTCTTTAGGGAGAATAACCTCCTGGGATCAAATAATGAGAACCAATTGATCGCCTTTCTTTGAAATCAGTAAACAACTATGGTTCAAACGAGAAACTAAAATATTTTAACTTGTCAGAATAATGTCATCCGAGTTCACTAACATTGCAAAAGTGCTTCTTCGTGGAAAAACAGGGGAAATATCTTTACTCAGGTGTTGCAAAAACTTTCTTCTTTAATTTATTAATCAAATTGTTTTATTATTCATCGTATCACTCTTTACTCGATCTTCTTTCCCATTCATAGCCTTTGTCACTATTCAGTTGTGGCATCACCTGGACCTTCACTAAGGGCATTGTGTTGAAAATTCATTGTACTTTCATGATGCTAAAAATTGAGCATGGTTATTTTTTGGCAGAAGAACCCTTCTGGATATTAAATAACTGTCAACTTTCGTCACAACAACTGAAGTCAAATATTATGTTTTTTACATATATCTTAAAAACTACACAGTTAGGAATTAACACTGGAAGTTTTTTAAACCGAATCTTCCTCACCCCATGTACTTTTAGTTACACATGGAATCTCTCCTTTATTGGTTAATTAATTTTAAGACTTATCTCGTGTACAGCAGCTTGCAAATTGAGCAGCGTACCGAATGTGAAGCAATATACCTCTAGGGCCCAGGGGGCTGGACCCCTTTGCTCTGCGCTTGTTCCAATTGCCAACTCCAAGTCTCGAGAGCAATGCTGCATCAGAGCAGTGGAAAGAGACCTTGCCATCACCCTTTCCCTTTTGTCTGGATCACACGCTGAAACTGAGAGCTGAAATAGGGAGTCATCAGAGTGTTCGGTGAAAATTGCTGTTGAGATCTACAGGATTCTTTGCTATTTTCTGTGATCAATGAGACCGAAACGGAACATGCGTCCGGCCATCTACAATTGATTCGGTGCCAAATTGGATGAAAAAAAATTTCAGATGTACGAAATTAAGACTGTTGAATGACCACCGATGACTTTCACTTCCACCTTTCTCTTTCAGTGTGTGATTCAATATCTATATTGTGATCAAACCAGCTTTACTTGGTGGCTTCAAGGCAACAAGAATAAAGTGGATAAATTGACATCATGATACCAATGGCATACTTATGACTTACTTGGTTTGGTCACAAGTCGAATTCTCGATGACGGAGGTGCAAGTGGGATCCTCACCGTAATCTTGGGCCCTTTTGTACCCGATACCTGGAAGAGAGAATTATTGTCCCAGATCAAAGACCATTGAAAACCATCAAAAGAAAGATTGGGGCTTAGGGCGAAAAACCAAACTTCATTGCAGTGAAAGAGGTCACTAAATGAAACGGAACCATGATATTGAAATATTTACACATTCATTTTATTATAAAAATTAGAGCAAACTGAAGGCAATTAAGTTTACATTTTAAGCTGACAGGGATGTTTTCTTGTGTAAATGAAAATCTTTTGCTATTCGGCTGCATCATTGAGTACCACTTGAGAAAATACACCAAATGCGGAACTTCATCTTTGAAGGAGGGATTTATGGGAGGAGAAACTCACCTAGGCAGCTTCTAAACTTCAGTCAATTCTTCTGGGTACGGAAAATAGGGAAACGTATGCAACTTTTGTGAGGGATGCAACTGATGTGAGGGATGATGTTCCCAGTCAGACTGGGAAATTCCTGAGATACGTGGAATTCAGATTGACCAAACGTCTCAGCATTTCCCAGAGCGTATGGGACATCTTGGGCGCAAGGGGGAAGTGATATGAATACGTCGCTGTGTCTTCTGCTGAAGGAAATGGCCAGAGTTTTACTAGTACTAATACTACATTAAAACTAGCCATTATTACCAACTACCTAATAGTATATACTGGTAATAGTATGGTAGTACTATTTACTAATACTACTAATACAACTATACTACTAATACTACTATACTACTAATACTACTATACAACTAATACTACTATACTACTAATACTACTATCCTACTACTACTTTAATACAACTATTACTACCCATTAAAAACGAAATATAAGTGAGTAAAATTTTTAAATTTTAAAAAATCTTTTAAAAAAAAATCAAAACCACTACTAAAAAACTACGACTAGATACACTATTATTCTATTATGGACCACTAGACAAGGTACGGATTTAAGCATTCTAATGCATGTTTCTTAATCAGAATATCACTTGGAACACGATTCTTGCATCGAAAATAACTGAAATCAACGCCTAACTAAGATAATAACGTTTTTATTTTACATTGGTTACGAGAATTTTGAATTGCCTGGTCACAAGAAACGCAATTCTCTATGTGAGTTAAGTCGCGCCTCACAACAGTTTTGGCAGGCTTCTCAAACGAACATTGTTCCTTTCCCACCCTTTATCGTTTAAAGTCTAAACAATTTACTGTAGCTGAGCCAAAGCATCAAGATTAAAGTTGCCAGATTTTCATATCACAGAGATTTTCATGGTAAAGTTTAGTAAGCGATTTGACTCAAGTAGACTATTGCGTTTTCACGACTGGGAAGTTTGAACTCACGCGTCAAGAAACATTAAATATCTTAGTTAGGAGTTGATTTCAGTAATTTTCGTGGCGCAAATCGTCTTCTACGTGAAATTTTGGTTAGGAAACAAGTAGCAGAATGCTTAAATTCGTACCTTGTCTAATGGTTCATTATGAGGTTTTCGCTAGTATGGGAAGATCCATACAAAAAAATATTAGTGACCAATACATCACAAAAAACTGCATTTTATATAAAATGACGGTCATAACAAATTGTTCTACTAATATTACTACACTACTGATACTATTATACTATACTAATACTATACATTAGTACAGTAAGAGTTCGATTTACCGGATCCTCGAGGAACCGCCGAGAGATCCGATGAATCGAGTAATCAGTTTTTTAACGGCAATAGCGTGAAATTTCAGGTCCGATTTTTGAAGAAAAATTTTGGCATCAATTCGGTGTTCATCTCAGGGAAATCTCTAAATAAGGTTCCATAATTCTTTTTTGGCGCTAATGCGGTGTAATTTGCAGAAAAACTTGAAAATTACGACGGATTTTTTTCTTTTTTGCTTTCTTTCTCTCTCCTTTTTTCCTTCATTCGGCGTATTTTGCGTTATACTGATCAGCCGATGTAAACGGCCGGCCGCGAACACGTCCCATCAGCGTTATTGGCGCGTAGTGTAAAAGATAGCGGCGCGGCGCCTACGAGTTACGGTCGGTCGAGTTACCTACCGATTGCGCCACCGCAGCGTGGCATTTTGCGAAGCAATTTTTCGGGAAAATCCAGTAATTCGATATAAAATGTTGTCACCAGATCGGGAAAAAATCCGGTAAACCGAACAAGCGGGTATATGGAAATCCGGTAAATCGCAGGTATTTTAACATTGTCCATATGGGAGTATGGCACGGACCGCAAAAAAAATCCGATAAATCTAACAATCCGGTAAATCTAACTTTTACTGTACTAATAAATGTTCACAAACCACTTGATTTTGATTACAATGTTTAATAGAGGAATTCCATTTTGTTCAAAGATGAATATTATTTTACTACAAATATACATCTTGGATCAATCAAGATTTTCCTCTTGTTTGAAATACAGACTAAGTTTTGCTACCTGCAATTCATCACATACCCTTTCAGTTGTTTCAGTTGATTTTAATATTCATAGGTTTGAGTCTCTTGTACGTAGAACATTATAAAATTTTCCTTTCAATAAGAATCAAACTACTGCTAGAGCTGTTTATATTTGCTTTTATTGTGCCTAATTTCACTTAAAGACAACAGTGCTCCTGTTATAAAGTTGTCAGATTCATATTTAGGACTTTAGGAATGTTGCCGAGAATTTCTTCAGGTTATGTAAGTAAATCTTTTACACGTTTGCCACTCATAAACAGCATTGCAAAACATTGATTTAATGCGAGTTCTGAGTGGGGATAGAAGTATCTATGAAGAATGTTGAAAGATAGTACAGAAAATAATTAAAACCTTACGTTGCTCGCTGAACTAATATTCATTTTAAAACTTTGACCGAATAGTTTGGCACACTTTTTGGATAGAATATTTGAGCAAGAATATGATGCTATACGTAAAAGTTTACAGAGTTTAATGGAAGGCACCAATCCTCATTTTCAAAAAAATCGAGTTGCGTATAAGTGGTTGTGAGTTTAACTATTACAGTCCACAGAAACTGTTTATAGTTGAAGCATGGACTCGAAGTAAATTTTTGTAATTGAGGTTTATGGTGGAGTAAAAGTTCAAAAATGTTTTCCTCGATTTGAACTGAATGCGTCTTGGTGCGTCACGTTAGACGCAGTCCAAAAGTGGATACAATTTGAGACTCAAAAATCTGAGACAAAACTAGAGAAAGAAGTAAATTAGTAAATATTTAACAAAATGACACTAACTGTTCTAATTTAATCTTCTGTTGTCAAAATAAAGACACAACTGTTCAGAAAGAGAAGTACTTTGATTCCCTTTCACGAGCCTCAAAGGCGTCTTAAGGTGCTATACTCGAGCATACATCTAGCTACTGCACTATACTCAAGCATGCTTACCAAAGTGGGTTTCACTTGTTTCGACAAGGTTTGTTTGGAACAGGGTTGTTCAGTCGAGGGTTGTTTCGAAGAGGGTTCTTTACACGAGGGTTGTTTCGACGAGGGTTCTTTACAAGAGGGCTGTTTCGACGAGGGTTGCTTAGACGAGGGTCCAAATAAAGCCGTATTGTGCGGATGAGAGCATCCATTCTTGTTTTCTTGCAAGAAGTGTTCAAAGCACAGGAAGTGCTGACATTTGTCATTCTGGCAACATCCAAATACTTCTTTGTTGCAGATTATACACCGGGCGTCATTTACACCATTGGGTGCTCTGCTCGATCTATCCTGCTGTAACTCATAAGGAAAAGTTTTGTTTCTGTGATTCAGGAAATGAACCTACACTAATGAAAGAGATGAAGTTTCTCTTTAGTTATTGGCAACAAGGAATGCATCATGAGCATTAAGAGAATTCACGACAGCTATAATAAGACAGCTATTTGTGACTTAGTGGGTTCAGACAAGTGAGGCCGCTTCTACTGCAGCCTCTGCATACAAGAGTTTTTCTAAAAAATTAAAGTAATCTTTCGACAAGAATATTAGCAGAGGATTATATAGGATAAGCGTCGAATACGAATCTCACAAAAAGCATCAACCAGCAACAGTATATGAAGCGAAAGATATGAGGTGGCGGCACAATAAAGAAATTGGAATTTTTTAAAACTTTTTTCCTTATGGAAACTTTTAGTTGAGTCATTTCCCCTCCTCGCTTTATGAATAGAAATGAAAAAAAATAAAAATTCTGCACTTTTTAAGCTAATAACGAGACATCAGTTTTCTTTTTAAGCAATCTTATTAATTTGGAATCAGTTATGTGACTTAATAACTAAATTTTGGCTAACATTTTGATAAGAGATTGAAATCTCAAAGCGGTATGAAATTTTCTCGACCAGTGAAAATTTTGGATATGACCATCTTCAACCCTTGACAAGGGCAAAGTTCCATCAGACATTAGAACTGAACAAACACAGTTAATAAATCAGGAACCAAAATTTTAGCCACATTATCTGGGCAGCGCTCGATTTTTAAGCCACTTAAATTTGATTTTTAGGCACAGTTTATACACAGCTCTTAGTGAAATTGCCGCGCTTTTCTGAATGTTAACATTTTAGAAAAAGAAAAACTGGACCAAATTCAGCAAAAAGGGACTAAGTACATTGTGATGTTATTAAGACTGTGCAACTTCTACTTAGCATGGAAAATAATTTATAGCTCCTTTCCCCTAAGTTTGATCCAATTGTGCCAAGAAAATTGTAAAATTAATGTAAGACACTTAAATAATGGTATACATTAGAGATGAATTAGAGAAACACGTGAGAGGCCTTAGATAAAATATGTACCGCTCTACCAGGAGGAAGGGGGTCCACGGTGGCGTTACATAACGCTTGATGCTGCATTTTTTCACTGATTATTAGCTCATTCCATTACATTTTATTTTAATGCTTCAGAATTTTTTCTTTATATTTATTTCTCTGTTTTTGTTGTTTTTTATAGGTAAAAAATGTTCAGATCTCTTATTTTACTTTTGTTTTCTTTGTTCATTTTTGCTTCTATGCGTTTTTTTAACAAAGACGAAAAAGTTAAGAAGTAACTGAGATTCAGCAGCAATACTAGTACTGTTTAGGGGGGTGGTCAAGAGGACCATTATATCTTCTTTAAGAGGGGTGTTGATCTGCGATATGGGTGCATTATGACGGTGAGGGGACAGGGAAAAAATCCCATTTTTAGCGTTACATATTTTATGTATGGCCTATAAAAGCTCAACTGAATGTTGTAACTTATGTGGTGCATCTCCGCTCTATACTCGTTTTGATGACTGCTGATGAAACATGTTTTCTGGATTGTTTCGAGAGCTCCTTTGCTGTAAATTTAGGACATTCCTATTATTTGCCTTCGAATTGAAATGGAATTCCAACTTCATTTGGTACATAGATTCTGAATTATTTTGCAAACTTTAAAATATTCTTACCGACTGGTAGTTAAGAGGGTCTTTTACATCCTTTTTGCGGTAACTGGCGAAAAGCGTGTTCGTTAATTTGGAAAGTTGGTACTTCCCCCTGTTGAGGAATTCCGAAATGGTAATTAGTCCCAAGGCTAATTCCTTTTCATTCCTTTGCTGCCTTAACCGGTTGAAGACGTAGCCTTCCTTTGGAGGCCTTTTCGGAGTTTTCCCAATTTCCGATGAAAGCATGTTTGCATCGGCTTCCTTGACTATGTCTTTCAATAATTCTGAGGCAATAATGTAAAAGAGAGTGAACAAAGTCAGTATTAAAAAGGTCTACCTGATAAGCATAAAACAATTCTTGACAGGCAGGAGAGGGAAATAGCTCTCCTACATGTCCGATAATATATGAAAACAAAAATTATATGTTAAAATAAGTAATATGCAGTGCTTTTTTTTAAAAAGTGAAAAAATTATTAAAAATGAACTTTGGATACTGCCTGCATACATAGGAAAAATGATAATATGAACAATACCTTCAATTCACCAACAAACATCCCACAAAAAAAAAAGGAAAAAAAAATAATTATCTATTACATGATGGGTAGCGGAAAACAATATTATTTTGGCAGAATTCTGCTTCTTCTCTAGGTAGTTTTTCAAATCCTCATCCTCTAACTTAAGACCAGACACAGGCTTATTTCAAATAATTATTTTAGGATTACTTTTAATTTTAAACTTATACATTCAATGCAGAGACTGTTCATTAGTGCTATAATGACGTTCGCTCCTATTGATCAGATTATGCTCAGGCTCAAAGGAACTTTTGAGAATTTCTTTTCTACTGAGCAGATATTAATTCCTATGAATAGTACTGGAATGAAGCTTCTAGGAAAAGTCCTCAATCAGAAGTAACCAGTTTAGGCATATTTTGCAGGATAAGTCAAGTGAATAAACTAATGACCTTGTTCAAGAATTTTTAATTCTTGCAATTTTGAAGAGTAGAGAGTGCATATAGCTCACACGAATTTTCCCCAACTTTTTATAACAGTATTACCCCCAAAAAACAAATTTGAAGTTCAGTATTTTAAGCTCCCATTAAAGCGGATATTGCCAAGAAAAGCAAGATGGCGTTGAGGAGATCATCTGAGCGGCAGGCACTTTCTCGACAATGCGTTCTCTCTTGCGGGATCCTTGCACTGATGATGGGAAGTAAACAAACCAACAAACAAACACATCAGAATCTGATAGTTTACATTAAAATCAGTGTGCGGTTGTTTGTTGGCTTCAAAAAAGTATTAATATTCATGAAAATTGAAAGATTTCGATGTGTTTGTTTATTGGTTTATTTATATTTCCATTATCAATGTACGAACCACGGATCGCGCAAGAGGGAACGTGCGGCCGTAAACGTGGCGACTGCTCAGCGCCTCTCCTTGACGCACTCTTGCCTTTCCTGGCAATATTCGTTTTAATGGGAGCTTAAAATATGCGAATTCGAACTGGTTTTTTGTGGGTTAATACTGTTCTAAAAAATCGCGAAAAATTCTTGTGAAGTATACGCCCTCTCTACTTACCAGAAATGCAAAAAAGCAAAAATTAAAAATTATGGAACAAGCTCATTACACCATTTTTACTTAAAGAAAGAACTCAGCTGGACTTAAATTTCCCATCCTTAACAATAGTATTTACTTCAGTCTAAACGCTTTGTCTCGGCCCTGAAGCCTCAGATTTGTATTTTAATTTGAACCACCTTGACAAATTGATAGATCAATAGAAAAAGTCAGTGAAATAGTTCTTCAGTGGTATGACATTAGTAAATCGATAGTAAAGCAGACACAGGAATTTAGGAGTATACAGAAACTTGAAGAATTAATATTCTATGTAATAACTTCAAAGAAAAGTCCTACACCAAAGTGTTCAGCAGATTTTCTTGTCAGTCATGATTGGGCGGAAAGGAATAAACTTGGTGTCCAAAGACTTGCGATTTGAAATCTGTGGCAATAATCAACCACAAAAAATATATTTTGTTCCTAAGAAAAATTCTGTTGTACAACAAACATCTTAGACTTCCATTAGGTTGAGCTACAGTTTGGTTCAGCCACTTTCCACTCAGAAAACGAAAGAAGCCCACACTTAATGAGTCTCACAGTTTTCGATTACCTGTCCATAGAGTTTTTTTTTCTTACAAGAAATAGATTTCCTATTCATTGTAAGGTAGAAAACAAAATTATGATGAATGTACAATTTCGCAATTATTTTAAAATTTTACTTTTTAACTTACTCACCAATAAAATTCCAAAAACTGGGATGACGCTCCATTAAGGTACTATGAAAACTTTCTATAAAGTTGGTGGTCCTCAGAGGTTGGCGATAGACGGACAAACTCTTGACCCCAACACCTGAACAATATCAATCAAGACAGAATTTTATCACCATAAGTGTAACAGAAAAGTCGCTAACTAGGTGTCCTAAAAAATCATTTCTCATTAATATGCTAAAGAAGCTGTAGTAAATAATGTATTTTAAAGAATGATGCTCAACTAAATATAAAAACGGCTGGGAAATAACAAAACAACAGCGACACTACAGGAAGACTTACTTCTTGACCCAACTAGGTACAATCAATGTGTGATTTATTTAGGCTATCTGCAAGCTCATTGCAAATTCTCTTAGATAGCTGATTGCCTGCAAAATGAATAAAGTAAATACTCTTTTGCAGAAACAAACGGACTGCCTTTGTAACATTAAGGATCTACTCTTCAGCTACCGCCTCCCATGGTTTTAAATGGACCTCTTGCATAAGGTAGGGATTTGCTATTTAAGCGCTTTATACAATGAAAAATTTTGCGAGACACACAATGATGCCACTAGTTTTCTCTGAAATCAACTCCAGAGCTCAAAAGAAGCTGTTTGGAGTCTCCAAACAAAGTCACAATCCAGCTAATGTACTTGCTCCCTATCTTTGTATTAAGAGTTTATCTTGATATAGAGGTGGACTCTCAGGAGAGCGTGGCATAGCCACTCCATTATGGCCTCAACTTTGGGAGCTTTGGAGTTGATTTCAGAGAAAACTAGCGGTGCCATCATGTCTCTTGCCAAATTTTACTTAAGGATCAGTAATTAAATTGCAAAATCCTGACACATGCAAGAGTCCCATTGATTCTTGTCAAAAATTCTGCTGTCTGCCACTCAACGTGCTGAACATACTCCTTTTTTGTCCTGCAAGTTATCAACTATACTTCAATAATTGACTCCCAGGGGATTTCCTGTCTCTACTTGCAATCCTTCAAGGTGCCTAAAAGCATCACTTCATTAATGCCATGCAGACATTCTTCTTTAAGTTTGCTCCTTTCAATACTTTCAGTGACCTGACTCCTCCCTACGTTAATTGATTCAGTTCATTAGAGGATAAAATTCAGATATTATAAGTAGGCGTGGGCCTTAAATTAAACTAATAAACTATCAGATACTTAACGTACGGACAATCCAATCATAGAAAACATGGCACAGAAGCTTTTGGAAATCCAGCAAATTTGGACCCTCTCGAGTTTTGAGGGCTTTTTCTTTCTCCGTCGTCTCATTTTCTTTCTCCGTGGCCTCATTTTCCTTCTCCATGGCCTCATTTTCTTCTTCTCTGCTTTCATTTTCTTCCACTCTGGACACATTTTCTTCCTCCCTGGCCTCATCTACGTCATCAAGGATAAGAATTTCTTCAACACAATCAAGATCTTGATGAGGATCATCTTCTTCAGAAAGTATTTGTACTTCTTCTTCTAGACTATCCTCCTTGGCAAGCTCTTTGATCAAATTTTCAATAACTTCATAACCGTCCATAATTAATCCAGCTGGGAGAAGGGGCAGGGCGAGTATGTAACCAAAAATTTTGGAACCTTTTCCGTCACGTGCCAGAGGTCTAAGGTTAAGCTGCAAGCACTGTATTGTAACAGCCTGAGGTAACAGAAAAAAACATGCGGTTTACATAAGATGATTAATGATCGCTGGAGGGGCTATAAGACAATAAGGTATTTGAGGCAGTGTAATAGCTTGATAACACAATTTAAATAGCCATCATCAAAAATAGTAATTTGAAACCATTGTTGTGTGGGAACTTCAGTTTATGGATTCGCAGAAAAACACTGACACAAAAAGTGGCCTTGAGCTAAAAAAAGCCGTTTTTTGTCGTGTCAAATTTTTACCCAGGAAATTAAGAAAATCAAGAAAGTTTGTTGATTACTTCAAATAAGTTCTTATGTCCTGAATGACTGCTAACTATACTTGGGGAATTCATTGATGTCGATTGAGCGGTTTATCTATTCATCATCACAGTTGGGCGTCTCTGAATGAAGCTCGACCTCATAAGATATCTCGTCACACCACCAAATTACGAATGAGTACATGTCAGTGTGGAGAGTTTGGCGACTGGCACTCTAGGGTGGAGCGAAAAAGCATTTTTTCGAAATCCGTTGACGGCTAGTGAAAAAAAGGTGCCTTTTGGCACCAAATGGACGAGGAAAAAATCCTGGCTCTATAGGACAACGCTTTCATCAAAAACATGAGGGCTCGAATTTTCGAGGATTCTATTTTTAATGTCAAAATTTTGATTCATCAAACGCTTGTATCGCTAAATCGAAATTTCTTAGGATATACATAAAAAAAATCGCTTTTTTGGACAAAATATTGCAACAATCGATATTTGAATTCGATATATCACTTTTTCAACCACAAAAATCGATTCTCTGACTCAAATTAGCTGTAAAAACATATATGGTACGTATCAGTTGTGTCTTTTCAATCGTTCAGAAATTATCTTAGAAAAAAAACACGGTAAAATCGAAAGTTTGAGGTTTTGAAAATTCGAGCCCCATGTTTTCGATGAAAGCGTTGTCCTATAGAGTCAGGATTTTTTCCTCGTTCATTTGGTGCCAAAAGGCACCTTTTTTTCACCAGCCATCATCGGATTTCAAAAAAAATGTTTTTTCGCTCCACCCTATGGCACTAACTTTGTAATGTTATATATTTGGAGGTCGCAAATGATTGATGTTAGATGACGAGTCTGTTGGTGTCATTAAACTGACTGGAATTCGTTCTTATTTTAATCGCGTGATGAAAGATTTGATAAATCAGACCATAAGGTCCTGATCGAGAGATATTACACCGAATGCACTTTGAGCTGCCTACTACTAAAAGAGGTATATGCATCTCCTTTAAGAGTTGGGCCCAGAACGGAATCTTGTCATACCTTCACCTTTTGTAGAGGAAGGTTAAAGGAGTTCAAAACTGGAAGACTTTTTGATTCAGCCCCCTGGGGGAGGGGGGTGGGGGGTCAAAGACTTGCCCGTCTCCTTGTTTTGCCACTCTCAGGGTGCTGTAGCATTGCCTCTGAGAGACTGGACTCCATGCTCATTTATGTGGGATGTTCTCCTTGCTCTCTGACCAAAGCTGCGCGCCCAGTTTAAAATAGGCAATTTTCCTGACCTTTGAACTTTCCGCTTCTAAACGTCCGGCCTAAAAGTTTCCTCATCATACTTTTTAAAGAGTTAGGAGGAAAACAAGGCCAGGAAAAACATGTTTATTTTTGTTTAAAATGAATAATTAGCTATTTAGGGAAGCAGCACGGATGTGGAAAATAGGGGCCTTTTTTTAGCATTCCGGAGGTGAATTGGCGATAACCCCAGCTGAAGTTCACAAAACCCTATGATTTTATAGATTTGCTTAAAGCTCACATCCACTTGAAACCCTCGTATAAACCGCATATTGCAAAGCTTCTTCACTTCTATGTAAAAAATTGGCGAAATTGTGCCAATTTTCGACTTTGGCACCCCGCTGTATCTCCCCAAAATTATTTCATTCAGAAGAAAATGGAATCATATTCAGGGCAGCATTAAGGCATACCTAATCAATACATGCATGTCTTTCAGAAAAACAAAAATAGTCTTACGTTGAAGATGGAAAATCGATACAACATTCTGACACAGTCTTCATTAGGACCCTGGAAACTTACAGCAGATTTTCACTTCTTCAGGGAAGAACTGTTTTCTAGAAAAATTAATATTTGGATGCATTTAAAATATTCAAATACTAACATGAGCATAGTGGAAGTAGCACGACACTTGCTGAACTTCAGGGAACCTGCTCCGCAAAGAGTTGCTGATCGCTAGCTCCGAGTCCGTTAAAAAAATTTTAGGCTTCAGACATAACTTATGCTTAACGTAATCAATGATTGGCTCGTATGCCTTTTGAGATTTCTTTGTCATCAAAACAAATAAAACAGGAATGCCCTACAACAGATAAAGCAGTGAAGGAAACGAGAGAGAAAATGTTTAGTCAGTTTCTTTGCAGTAAATTGGCCTTTAATGCTAAAGCTAGCAGTAATAACTTTTTCATCTTAGAAATTGATGATAAACAGGTAAACTCAAATCTCATCGTCTTGATAACCACCAGGGTTGCTCGAAACAACGACTACGCAAGGAAACCTATTCGTCGGATGAAATTACTTTTTTTTCTTTACTGAAACAAATAAAGCGTGAAGTTTCAAAACCGGCGTTTCTGATGTAGGCGATTTTGAGAAAATGCCAATTTCCTTTGCAGAATTATATTATTTTCTTTTTAGTACCGAATAAAATTTAAGAAGACACTGGGCACTTCATTTATGGTACACAGTTATATCGTACAGGAAGTTGTTTCACTTTGAATAATGCAGATTGCAGGTTTTCGAGCGAAAAACTCTTTCTTGTCAATTCAAATGTAAAGCAAAGTCTTCTGGGATTTTATTTTACTTTTTTTTTTTTTTTTTTTTTTACAATTTGATACATCAGAGGAAGTCAGATTGACTACTTTACATGTAAAGTTAGAATACATTTTCAAATAAATCATATTATAATAGGGGTGTGCGAAAAGTGAATTTTGCAAACAAAACAAGTAGCGAATAATTTTGCCAATTATTCACGAATACAAAGCGAATAATTTAAGTCAAATACTTAATATGAATAATGTAAAATGACTTTGTTTATGAATAGTGTAAAATGACAAACAGGGTCTCGGCCCTATTCAAAAGTTAGAAGAAGAAGAAGACTTTGTTTACTAAGAAAATTCGCAAATATTACAAAAGTTCAGAAGTAAGTGTGATTATTTTTTTTAAAAAATTGTCCATTTGCTTATACACCTGCGCTTTCAATATGTGTCACTCTTGGAGTAAAGAAGGATAATTAACAAATCGTTTTTTGCCAATGGATATGCTCGAAACTGGGTATATTGGAGTACTGTGATGTGAGAAAAACAAATTTGACATTAGCTTTTTAGAAAAAACCGAATTTTTCAAAATGGCTGCTGTTTAAACTTCAAAATGGCGGAAAATTGGAAACCTCGGCTTTTGTCATAATCTAACGTCAAATTCTCCTTTTTCCTACCAGAGAACCGTTACATATCAAGTTTTAGACATATGTATCGGCAAAAAACGAGGATGCCAATTTTCGGCCATTTAGAACTTACACCACTCTGAAATTCGTTATTCATGACGACGCAGATATTTGATAAAGTGGGTTCGAAAATTCGTTATTCGCAAGTCGCGAATATTGGCAAAAGTCGAAAGGTGCACCAGTCAGTCACGGCTATTATTCGGCGAATATTTGAGATTCGCACAGCCCTAGATTAAAATAGTGATAAAAATAATGATTGTAATAAATTGGGGACAAGGCATCAAGGAATTCGTTTAGGCTGCCAAATGACTCTTCAATTAAAAGGATACGGAGGGTTGAGAAAATGGTCGTACAATCTTCATTTTTAAACTGAAGCTACATACATATTTGGTGGTAGTTTTATCAAAACTTTGAATTGAAGAAAACTTCTTGTTAAATTTGGAGATTTTTACTGTTATTTTGATATTATCAATATTGTTATGCATACTATTTTAATTGTTTTTAGGGAACATAGGTGCCGGTGATATGAGTCCATTATGTACAGCATATTTTTTTATCTCAAAAATATACTATACTCAATATTATATTATATTAAAGGTATAGTATGGAGATCATTATCAAAAGATATCTGCTAGATGGGATTTTTGACTGAAACTCAGACAATTTTTTCTGGTCAATGAAAACTGCCTCTGCTCCACCATCCCTTCCCCATGGAATAATATGTAACATACATCAGATGAGAGATGACATTAGCATGCTGACAAGGGAGGGCATTTTCTTAAGATTTTACTTTTAAACGATTCTGTAAATCCAATGGACCACCAGACAAGTTACGAAATTAAGCATTCCGATACATGTTTCTTAACCAGAATTTCACGTAAAACACAATTCTTGCATCGAGAATTACTGAAATCAACTCCTATGTAAGATATTAACGTTTTTATTTTACATTGATTACGGGAAATTTGAATTGTACGGTCACAAGAAACTCAATGCTCTACGAAAGTCCAATTGCGTACTACAACGGTTTCGGCAGGCTTCTCAATCAAGCAATGTTCACTCCCCACCCTGTGTTGTCCAAACTATATACAACTTGCTGTAGCTGAGCCAAAACGTCAAAATTGAGGTGGTGAGATTTTCATATTGTAGAGACTGTCATGGTAACGTTTAGTGGGCGCTTGGATTCACTTGGAGACCATTGCGTTTTCATGAGCGGGAGGTTTGAATTGACGCGTCAACAAACATTAAATATCTTAGTTAGAAGTTAATTTCAGTAATTTTCGTTGCGCGAATCGTGTTCAACATGAAATTTAGGTCAGGAAACATGTATCAGAATGCTTAACTTTCTACCTTGTCTAGGGGTCCATTGAGTTTTAAGTGTATAGGGTCCTCCTAATGGATTGTCAGTTATTTTACAAATTATTGTAATTTGTCACTTAAAAAAAAAAAAAAAAAAAAAAAAATCGGAATAAGGTTTTCCGCAATAAAAATATTGACTTTATTGTCTAAGAATGAAACTCAGCCGTGACTGCCCGTTTTTGAACAGAACGGCTTAAGTAAATTTGTGTGTTTACACTCAAAATGCAAGCGAGCGATTGGTGGAAACAGATTTTACTGGCACTGGAATGGAAGGGTCCAAGGAGATTGCCAATTTTAGAGTGAACGTTGTTTTCAATCATTGAATAAAATTCCTTGTTTCCATAATTTCCAAACAATTATTATTACATCAGATTCAGAATTTTCAACTTAATAATACCCGCCTCCTGATTCAAATCTAAAAAAGGTGTAGGGAGTCCTCCTCTTGGAGCTACACTCCTCAAATTCATTATTAATACCAATAGTAGCATAGCTTGAGCTAAAACTGCAACAAGTATAAATGCAACCATTATGCCACAGGATGAAATGTTCCATTAGGGTAATATTTACTGTCAAAGAGAATTGGAGGTGAACCTTTATAAATATTACCCCACTAACAAAATGATCAAAGTGGAACTTACAAGTCCATTGTCAATTACCGTCACTGTCAGTAACTGGTAAAAGTGGAGCGAGGCTGGCACTATCTTAAATGTGGCATCAAGTAGGATAATCTTTGGGTATTTCAGGAATTTCTGGCTATTTTCCCCATGAAAAAGTACATTCGTGAAGGAGACTGTTCCTGTCGTTGAGAATCCTGTTTGTATCTAAAAAAAAAAAGTCGAACAACATTGAATGCTCCATGTATGATGACAAAGAAGTACTTGCTCGATTGCTCATAATTGAATAAAGTTACCTCCATACATGATGAAGATTTCACTACTGTTAGGAGTTGGTTGATATATTTGAAAACGTCAGATTTATAACATTCAGCAAAATAGAGGTCCAACTATAGTTGAAGCAATAGAAAATGCAGCTGATAATGAAGCGAATGCATATTTCAACGGCTCATCTCGACAGCACACATCAAGCAGAGAAAGAAACTGGACTTGCAAGCGTGGTAGGGAGTTATTCACTTCTACAGTAAATTGGAGGAGAATTTCCGATTTGAATCCCTGCACAGGACTGAAATTAAAGTAGTTGTATTAGGCTATGCAGAGTGATCCCTTGCCGGTCACTAGACAGTACCTATCCTTTTCACGCATAGTTATTTTTCTTCAATTGTCCTTGCTTAGTTCAACAATTTTGGCTGCTGGTGATTTCCAAAATTTTCAGGTGTAGCTTCAACATTCAAAATTTGTTGCCGAACATGCTTGGCAGAAATTTGGCAAGTCTTATGGCTCTTGAATGTTAGATTTAATCTCCAAAGAAACTTGCTTGCTTGCATCACACCAACCTCTTGATTACTTACTTTCCTTAATACATAAAGTTGAAAATGAGGAGTCAGCTGCTTTATAATATTTACTCAGGTTTACATATGAAGGGGCAAGACTGCAGTTGAATTAGACAGGTATCAAAAATTTGAGCTTTACCTCTCGGTAAAACGGCTTTCCATCCCACGTTTTCCCGTAAGACGTTGTACGCAGTTTCTCTTCTAGTTCTTGGAAAGAGTTTGGTAATGTGGGAACATTTTCCACTTTTCTTTTTTTTATTGTTGGTTCCACGTCTACAAAAGGTACATGGCCCATAACTGATGTAGGATACCTGCACAGAAATTTGAGCTTTTCGTTGTTCACATCCTACAATAACATCAATGTGGTGAAGGTAGGTGTTGACGTTGAATAATAGGAGAGGTGAGGTGCTATGAATCAGTTGTTCAATATGGCGGTGTATATTTTGCTGGGAATAATGATCTGATGACATGTCGGCTCAATAGAATGCTTCCATTAGTCAGGGATTTGCAATTTAAGTACATATTCTGACGTAAAATTTTGTAGGAAACTTGATGATTCCACTGGTTTTCTTGCCCCTTGACCGAAATTTAAAGCTTAAATAAGGTATCAGAATTGAGGCCCTAATGGAGGGGATCCCCCACGCTACCTTGGGAGTCCACCTCTATGTCCAGTCAAACTCTCCATGCAAAGTTCAGGGTAGCAAGGGGGATTCCCTCGATTTCGGCCTGAATTTTGAGAGGTTTCCAGAAGCTTTGAAGTGCATTTCAGAGAGAACCCGGGGCGTCATAATTGTGTTTCTCGCAAAATTTTTGTGGAAGATAATGTGCCTAAATCGCAAATTCCTGAGCAATAACTCCATTTTAATGCAAGCCTACCTTCTAGGTTGGCCTAGACAGGATTGTTAAAATCACAATCTTTACTTTCCATTTCCTTACACACATGAACATCTCCCTACTATGTTCAAAAAAGCAACAGAATAGTAAAATGTATGACTCTTGTGCAGTTCAGAAAACTTCCATAAGGAGCGTGATATGTTCATTTACTCAAAATATTTTGAGAGTAAATAAAAGTATTGAGAATATATTTATTTTTCTGAGAGAAATTATTTTTAGCTTGAATATAAATTTTAATTGAGAATAAATTTTTTTGCTTGAGAGGAAATATTTTTCTTCTCATATATATTTTATTAAGTGTCCAGGTTAGGTTAGCACCTCACCCGTGCAACCGGTGTTTTTACAGTGTTGCCGTATTATGGTACGTGTCTAAAAGCACTTTATCATACGTGTCGTGCATTGTGCAAGTGAAACTAAGGCTTAATATTTGTTTACTCATTGTTTATTTACTAAGAGCTTTCATGGTATGAACTGTCCTGATTTGTCAACTGGAAACTAACATGCATACGTTCCTGAAATTCAGGACATAAACGTTTTCAATTTCATCTAATTAAAGTAAGTAGATTTCAGTTCTCACTTGGTGATTTTTTCCACATTGTGCTTCGGACCAATCGGGGACTGTAAATTCTTTTTAAAGATGTCATTTCGACAGCGTGAGACATATCTCGTTTGCGGTGTCTGAAAATCTCCGCCTCTATGTTATTTTTTTGTAGGTGAACAAATTGACATCATTCCTTGATGTTTATGCAGAAATTTCTTCGCACAGAGAAGAAAAATCACGGCAGATTTAAAGAATTGCCGTTGAGTAGTTTTCCTTTTATAAAATGAAGTATGACAGGAAGTCTGCAACGTCGCAAACCGAGTCATGTGATTGCCAACTTACACAGTTGATTTCTACTTTCTCAACAGCAGGTTCTAGGTAAATTGTATCTCTTTGAAGCAATCCATTCCTATGGCTTTACATTATCAAGCACCTACCAACATTAGGTATAAAAAGTCACCCTAGCGGTTGACTCCTTGTAGAAAGTAATGAATAAGGTTGTTAGACACAGGTTAGACCATGTGACTCAGTACACTGGTAATGTGGCAGCATGGAAGTGGACAAATTGTTCGAATTGTCAACAACAACATATGGTGCGGGACGTAGCATTTTAGCGGCGAGACTCCCTAACCCTTGAAAAAGTTTGACCGACATTGCAGCTTTTGGAACTGGAAGCTTCAAAAAATATAGTGATGTGTAGAGAGATTAAGGTATTGATGGCGAAATTCTGAAAACGCACATCTTGTTCGCGACATTTCTAAATTTCCACCTCTAATTTAATTTTTTAATAGAAAATGAAATGACAGAATTTCTTGAAATTTTTGAAGGATACTTCACTTACAGGAACAAGTTCACAGACATTTTCAAGAAATATCCTCAAATAGATTTTCTTTAAAGAAATAGAAGAGCTGTGGAAATTTGCAACATCGCAAAACAAGATACAAGTTTTTGAAATGATGCCATCGATTTGCGCCTTTGTAGTGAAGATAGACACTTTAAATCTTAAAATCACCAAGTGAGAACCGAAATCTACTTACTTTAATTAGATGAAATTGAAAACTTTTACGTCCTGAATTTCAGAAATGTATGCACGTTAGTTTTCCAGTTGACAAAACAGGAGAGCTCATACCATGATAGCTCTTAGTAAAAAAACAATTGAGTAAACAAATATTAAGCCTCAGTTTCACTTGCACAATGCACGACACGTATGATAAAGTGCTTTTAGACACGTACCATAATATGGCAACACTGTAAAAACACCGATTGCACCGGTGAGGTACTGACCTAACCTGGCGACTTAATAAAATATATATGAGAAGAAAAATATTTCCTCTCAAGCAAAAAAATTTATTCTCAAATAAAATTTATATTCAAACTGAAAATAATTTCTCTCAGAAAAATAAATATATTCTCAATACTTTTATTTATTCTCAAAATATTTTGAGTAAATGAGCATATCGCGTTCCATACTTCCATACTGGGCCAGTTTCAGCTTCATTTGTCAAAAATCCTACTTTCTACACGTGCAAAGTCAAACTAGCAATTCTACATGTTTTTTTTTTATTTTTATTTTTTTCATTACATAACTTGCTGTATTTCTAAACCAAAATATTAAATTTTGAGAAATATTCCTCACTCATAACGAATTAGTCATTATCAATTCTTGCAAATCAATCTTTTAGAGCAAGAAAAATTCTCACTGATTATTTTCTTCTCTAATTAACTATGCTTTGGGAACAGATAAAGCTCACCTCCTACTAACTTTCCTGTACACGGCTTTAGGCCGAAGCCCTGGATGGTGTGTTGATAGGGCGAACATATCCTCTTTTGCCTGAAGAATTGAATGCAGCTCAGGTTTCTGCTGGCAGTTGTGTTGACAAGTCAATTCTAAGGAAGAAGCTCCTTCCTTTAAAATCGCACGCCCTGTAACAATTTTCAATTTTCAGTCCGATTGATATCATAAAACGGTCATAGATAGAGGGCAACTTGTATTAATATTGAAACTATAACAAGCCAGCGAAGGACTCAACGAAACATCTACTCAACTACATTATGATTACAGGCACTTTAAGAAATATGGTCTTTGGAGGGATGCTCAGCCACTTCAAAAAAAAATCAGCTTCCATTATGAAGTAATTAAGGGATTCATATTTTGGAATATTCTTAGTTACCATTCATCATGGAAATGAGGATTCCTGCTCCATGTCGACTGACTTCATTGAGAAAATATTTCAATAATAAGAAGTAAGAGACCCAAATAACGATGGAAAATGAGTTTCTCTGAACAGCTTTTCTTGAAACTTACCTTAGATATTTTTAAAAAAATTATGCACTTAAGCATGATATCGCAAATCCTGACTGATAAGTTTTAAGTAAATGATAACATGGTTGACGGGAAGAAAGGATCAACTTACCCGGGCAATTCCCTTTTGTTTTGTAACTGTTTAAACATCTAAGGTAAAGAACGCGTTTCTTCTTTTTTGATGTCAAAAGTAAGTAGCCCCATTCATCTTGGATCCAGCAGTTGGATTTCGTCCGTTTTCTGTAGACTGTGGTATAAGATTGCTGTGGGGCAGTTAAGTTTCCTGGAATAAATACATACATATATGAACGATTACAATTATTAAAGTCCCTTTTAGAGAAGGAACAAATCAATTTCCTCGAATTCCAACTTCTTTGAAAAGGTTAAGGAAATCCATTGTAAAAGAACAGCCATCAGAAAGTACCATCTTTTTACATTAGAAAATAAATAAAACTATAAAAAATGTTCAGCAAAAAAGCAATGACTAATTATATTTGGCCTAGGTGTAGTTTAAGCTGAAGAAGTCTTCAAGATTTAGAATCAGAGCTCTCCCTTTTTCCTATTTGTACTAATATAAGCTTCACTATCAATATTTAAAAATAATATTATAATGAAGAGGACATATTTTTATGAGGTACATAACTCACTGTAACTGATGTAACTCTCCCGTTAGGCCATGATGCTGGGCAGAAGAAACATTAAACAAATAAATTTAGAAATAGTGATTACTTGAAGTCTTCTGAATGATGGGATAAGGCAGTCCTGTATGCAAGAACTTGTAATCGGTTTTTCATTGCCTTTCGAAAAAAATCAAATATGAGAGATGCCCGGACTAAATAATGTGCAATTGATCAGACCCTAGGGGTAATTGAAGCGCAACAAACGTATTCTTATTCTACAGGGAATATGTTAAAGGCTTCATTGATGAAATGAACAATTTTCTGCCGATAATCAGCAGACAACCCTGTGTGCTTGATTACAAGAGCAGTAAGAAGCAGAGTTATACACTAAAACTCTATGTTTAATGGGTGAGCATTCAAGGTTCCCGATTCATAAGTATGTTTCGTATGATCACTCAAAAAAAGAAGCTCCCAGCTCTGAAAATGCAGTGGTAAAGGAGGGCATAAACCCATTCTCATGCTACATTATAAGACCATTTTTTATTTTAAAACTGTGACTATTCCCTCCATACGAAGTTTGGAGACTCTTACGCACCATAGGTTCGAAAGAACAAAGGGGAAAGGTTTTTTTAACTTCATATTCATTCTGATCCTACAAGGTAAAAACACTCATGAAAGTTATGCCACAAGATCGTGCTGGAAAGCATTTTATTGGATCTTTGTAAAAATGGAATGGGATTTTGAGGTTGAAAAATCGTTTTCCAATAGAAATTTTCGATAAGAGGACCCAAAGGGCCCAAACATTTTTGCATGGAGGGGGTATATGTAGTTCTAGGGGACAAAAGTCTTGTTAGTTGCTACACAAAAGAGAAAAACGTTTTCGATCTTCCTCAAGAAAACACCGTAATTTTTTTTTGGAATGGGATGAAACTAGGTACCTATTTTCAGTGCCCAATATAAGATAGTGGCTAAAATTTATTGAATCGGCCTGCAACTCTCAGAATAAGAAGTTTAAGTGATTATAGACTGGATGAGAAAGGTTTTTTCCCCTTCAAAGTCAAAGCATGCTCTTCTCTTTTGAAAAAAAAAAAAAAAGTAAAAGATGAAGGTATCCTCTCAGTTTCATCCCCAGAGTGAGGTTCTCCAGGGTTGAGAGTATTTTTATTTGATTCCTGGAAATCCATATGGGTGATGAAGGCCTGACCAGATTCTCAATTTTTATCATAGGTACCCTGGAAAGTATGGTTGGCGGTCAGTCAAGGTAACTCGGGATATTTAAGAAGTAAATGTTAACCTGAAATGCATAAAGATCACAATGTCTTCTTCACTGGTGAAATGGGCCAGATGCGCTAAAAGCAATATAGTGTTCTGATGATTGAATATGGAAAAGGAGCGAAAAAGCATTAAGGTGTGTTAGAACACCAAAGTTCTATATTTGTTATGCAGTGAATACTACGACAAAGGGTTTTACCATCCTGGTTTTATCATTTTATCAAGGCAGGTGACACCTAGCGCTGGGTTTTTAAGAGGATAATTTCTCCTTTACTATTCAACAGATTTTATAATTTTTTGTCAATTACACTGTTAAGAGAATGAGTATTCCGTGCCTAGCACTACAGAAATGTTAGTAGCTGTAAAATCCATGCAAGCAAATACACTCTTAAAAACCAAATCTTTCAATCTTTGAGCGGAAGAACCAGTAAAGGATGAAACAGTTTCCTTAAACTAACTGAGAGGACAAAACAGAAAATCTTTTAAAGAGGTAGTATTGAATGAGCGAAGAAGTGCAAGGAGAAGGTAGCCAACAAGTGAGTCTTACAAAAATGTCAATAATTATAATTTTCGCAAGAAACGTTTGAAAAAGAAGATATTACTTTCAAAGATCATTACTTACATTAATGACATTAGGGAGGTCCATGCAATGCCAATAAATTTTGCCCAAACCGATTACAGGATTTCATGGACAGATGGATTTTCATGGATTTGGATTTCATGGCTGCTACTAATGGTGTAATATTCATGGAGAGGGATGTCATGGAAAATTAGGGGACATGGTACTGAGGTCTGGCGTGTGAGGCTTGGAAGGAAAAAAGGACGAAACATAGGAAGGGAGAAATAGCAGGTTTTATTTTGACAAGTAGTATAATTGATCAAACACAAAATGAACAAACCAAAACCAGAAAAAACCGAGCATATAGAGGAGGTACAAAAATAATCTCAAAATGGAATGAAGTGCAGGTTACTTGGTTCTTTGTAAACAAAAGTAGGTAGGAAGCTGTTATCTGATGAATTATATGCCCGACCTATGATCAGGAGAAACAAGGAAAGGGGTGATGAAAGGTGTGCTTTACATGAAAACAAACATTTTAATTTCTAGGAAAAACACAACATCGTAACTGTGACGATTCCTTTTTTCCTTCAGACATTTTACAGCAAACACAGCTTTATAAATACAGTATAAAGCGTTATACACTCATAGAGCAAATTGAGGGGAAGGCAAAAACATAACAGGCCTTAATTTTAAAAAAGAGTGGATTGGAGCTACATGAAAAAGAGGCTAGATATTAGACAGGAGTATACAGGAGGAAATATTACTGGTGTTCCGAGGAGGAAATAATGGTGCGGGGAATAAGTAGGTAGGCAAAAATTATAATTGGAAACAGCAAGTCTGATTGCCAATCACCGGCTCTAATCTCTAAGGTTAAGATCTGAGGATGGAATTTAGGCAAGCAAGGCTTTCATTTAATCCTAATAGGAAAAGAAAATTCCTAGAAAAATTAGCTTGCCTGGAAAATATTAGTTTTCGTTAATGCCTTGCTAAGGTCGCATTTCTATTTGGAATAAGAAGCACAGCGTTGATCTGTTCACTCTATGGCAGACTGACTCAAAATTTAATGATTTTTCAGTAAAAATTCATCTATTGAAAATGGCTATTTGTTTGTCACTCAAAAGTTTTTGTAAGTAAATAGTACAAATATCTATTTCCTTCCTAGTGGAATTGAGACTATTCATGAGCCCGTAATCACCTATGAGTAAGAGGAGAATTACACTGGCTAATTGGTTGGAAATCTTAAGGAGAATAGCCGTAGCCGAGCCTTACTTTTGCGATGCATAATTACAATATTGGAGATACCGCCTTGTTAAAAACTACATCAGTACTCAGCAAGAAAAGGATGATATTATCAATACTAACACTTAAGACATTGCAAGCATGAACAGAAAAATACAACAAACCAAAAAAAAAAAAAAAAAAAAAATGTGCAGAGAGTTTAGCACTATAAAATGATGCATGGAATTTAAGATTTTGTCCATCTTTTTACCTTAACGTGTACTGGAACTTTCGGTAGTAGTAAATTCGTGTTGCAACATAATCCAACCTTTGGAATTCCTCTTAAATACGAAGAGCTTTTGTCAACTCTGGCTTAATTCTGTTATGAGGTGGGTGCGGTACCTATCAGAAGAATTAGAAAAAAATATTGAACGCAATGCATTTGGTAATTTTAAAAATTAATTTTGTTCAGTGGTGCAGAAAAAACTCCACCAAACGACTGGCACACCGCAGGTAAGTGGTTTAAAAAATATGAAGGCTGCCAGGAATGTGCAGGTAGTGAGCATTTTATTTTGCGCTGTCTGCAAAGAAATTCTTTTGATGTACTGTTTTATAAAAAGAAAAGTGCAAAAGTGAGACTCACAGTTGACGAAAATGGGAACACGGTTTTATAAAGAATGTAAAAGTAAAGAACATTTTACACCCCTGATTTTGTTTTGGAAAGTAAGACGTAATTAGGAAAGTCCAAAAAAGGTCGCCTAACATGATCTTAGCCGAAACAGCTAGGAAAATTTCATATGGCATGAAACTAAAATGAGACACTTAAGCACCAGATAAACCTGTTAGTAAGAAATGCATCGGGGAGAGGAGCAGGCAATGGGCACAGTTAGTTCCAATTCAATGCAATTGGACAATCAAATCGAATCGTGTTCAATGAATGAAGCTCTTCCAGACACGCTTCGTAACGGCAGGTGTATCTGACACCTAGGAATATTTGAGCGCCTACAGTTGTGATCTGAATCTTCATCTTTAGAAATTCGACTCTCCCAAAAAACTGGAAAAGGGCAAGGCTAGCAATACTTACCACAGCATCAGAGGAGAGAGCAGTTAAAAAGTAGAAATGTGTCAACTTGCCTCTCCAAAGTGCATCACCAGGTGTAGTCACTCAGGAAACTGGACAATATGGAGTGACTCCAGAGATATTTAGCTTAACAGAGGTGATGAATTCGGGCACTTGGGTTGAAATATCAAAAGATGGCTAAGAAATTTCCATGTTCAAGCCCTATGTCACAAACATATTTTGAAGATGATGAAGCTCCAGTTTTGTGATGACTCCCACATGTAAAATAAAAGGAATACGGTTAAAAATTAGTAATATTTGTTAATATCTACTGGAGGTTAAGGAGGGAACCCTTTCAAGATGGAACCATTTAGAAAAGTATTTTTTCGGCCTTACAAGTAGAAGAGTCCAAAAATCAGTCTTAGAACCTCAGCATTAAAATTGACCATTGTTTAGGCCTTTCCGGAAGGAAAATAATTAATTCCTGCAATCTCCTGGCCACGTGAAAGCCTCTCAAGGGATAAAAATGGGTGAATAAAATTTCTGATTGAAGACCAAAAAGAGGATAGTCACTTACCTTGAAACTGAAAATCACAGGCCATTCTTTTGCTGAGAAGAAGGAATGCTGAAGCTGTTATGATAATGATGAATGACAATCTCCAGCACGCTGGGACACAGCTGAGAAACTTGGATAATTTTTTAACAAGGATGTCGCTAAGTCCCAACATGTGGGGATGTGTGCATAAAAACTGCAATTATTTCCCACTGATGCAAGTAGGTGCTGTGCTTGAACAGTCATGGGATACAGGTGCACTTATAATTATTATTCATACGTATACTCTTGTAAGTATGCCTATTACAACATTTCTCTTCAATATTTGTTTGCGGCTATCAAATATCCTTTCAAATAATTAAAATCAATTTAAAAACTCATGAAGCCGATCAAAATTCTTTTTTCTTCCCTTGATCTCAGTCCCGTGTGTCAAACAAACCATCCCCCGGACCCGTCTTCGACAGTAGCTACCCCCTGTGTCCCTGGCAAAACAAAGCCCTCCTGGCTCACTAGCAGGTCTGAGCCCAACCTAACCAGAAGGAACATCATTGTTATCAATACCTAGGGCATGCGAGTCAGTTTGTTGCTCTGGAGAAAAATAGACAGGACCCCTGCCATAGGGTGTCAAAATTGTATGATATTGATTTCATATTGGGTGGCAAAATTTAGTGTGTCTTTGGATTCAATTGAACGGCTCTCGTGTTTTTTACTTCAGAATTATTTGCATATTGACAGTGAACTACCAGACCACGTATCTCGTTTACGGTGTTTGAAAATCTCCACTCCCATTTTATTTTTTTTGAAGGAGAACAAATCAATATCATCTCTTGAAATTTTCAGAGTTTTCCTCGCACAGAGACGAAAAAACACGGACGTTTTCAATAATTGACGTTGACTAGTTTTCCATTTGAAAAATAAAGTACGGCAGGAAGTCCACAATATCACATACAGAGATACGTGGTCTGGTAGTTTCGCCGTTGATATGTGCATATACCCTTCACCACACAGAGGGGCAGGAATTCTGTAGAAGAGGAGTATCAAAAATAACTCATTCGATTGCATACTAGCACAAGCTATAGATCTAGAAGTCGCAGGGGAGACAAAGTTCATTAATGTTACCTCTGCTTACGCTCAACTTGATAATAGCTGTTTTATAGCAAGTGCTTGGAATGCAAAACATGTGTTTTGGGGTTCCAAAAAAGTTAATACAAAAAGTGGTAAGCTCTTCAAAGCTATCAAACCAGTTCATGCTCATGTTGCAACAGGGGAGACCAATGCATTATCCTGTAGATAAAAAACAACTCTTGATAATATCATTTTCAGTATAACAGAAGGAATCGCAAGAAGTAAGCTTTCTACAGTAGTAGGAGATGATTATGATGATGACCCCCCTACAAGGTGGGGTCATTGGGAACTTTGTTGGCCGTTGTTGGCGCCCCTGTACCTTGTGACTTGCAAACATGACACATGAGACCAGGCGCCATTTTCTCAATGGCGCCAACAGGTGTGACTTAAAGTTTATCCCTTATCACCTTCACCTGTTACACTGTTAAATGTTTTGTTCATTCTGTGATCTGAAGATCCTGATCTTTAAACAATTCACAATCGCACGAGTGTTTACTAACAGTTACCTAAAATTTTTAAACGTTAAAGGTGGGGACATTTGAAATTAAAACATGAGTAGCTTGAATACGTCACAACAGTGCACATTCACTTTTAATGAGGGCACACCGGAGGTTATAAAAAAAATCCAAAATAAGTCAGCTGATATGACATATTAATATTTGCTCTCACAGCATTGCCAAGTTTCAATTAAAAATTGCCTTTCAGTAGTTTCCATTTAAAAGTAAAATACGACAGGAAGTCTGATATGTCAGAAACCGAGATAAATGATCGCAGTCTTACACCGTCGAAATGTGAACCTTGGAATGGCACGCTCTTCAACTCATTCGTGTTGAAAAATATTGTTATCGGGGGTCCGGGTCCCCCCTCCACCCCCGGTCACCCGCTTCGCGGCTGACTTTGAGGCTCGCGAAGCAAGCCTCCATGAAGTGGCGTCATCGAATGGATTATACACTTCATTAGTTTTTCTTAAATTATTTTTTTCATTTTCTTTTTTTCAATTGATTTATTTTTTTTATGTTATTTTCATCTGCCTTTGATGAGCGAAATCATTTGTTTGCCTACTAAAGTAGAAAAAACATGCCTTGACGAAGACAACTAAATATGTAGGCTTCTCAATAGCAGTTCGTCATAAACAATGTTCTTTGTTGTTACATCTGCGCCATGCAGTCGTTCTGATTTAGTGAGCAAACAACTATTTTCTCAGCGAGTGCCAGGAAATTGAGAACGCTATTCAAGAGAGTGAGCGTCTGACAGGACAGGCTTAGGATGACTAATAAGAGAAGAGAGGCGACTCAGTCTGCTCTCGATCATCAAAAAAAATTCTGTTCCTCTATGGACTACGCGAACATCTGTCTGCGAAGTGAGCTCCGTGGCTGCGCCCAGTCACCATGGATACCGACTGGAGGGGCTGCGCGGCCGCACTGCATATCGCTGTTCGCTCGAAGAATATTTCCCCTCTCACAGTCAAATCTTTTTAGAGTCATCGAGGTTTATATTATTGATGTTTTCAATTATCATGTAAACGTGCCCTTCCAGAAAGATTATGCAATGGTGGTACTGACTGGTCTTTATTTCAAGAATACATTGAAGAGAAAGGAAAATTAACACCCACATCCCTATGTCTCTTCACCAGTAAAACGTGAATCATTTCTATTTTTTCTTTGTATCCCTATGGCAATTCTGACATTTTTGTTGGAGCAAGCAAATTAGTTAAGTATGCACAGGGAATAATAGGAGAACCATTGAGATTTAATGAGGACGAACGGCGTTAAAATTAGAGAATTAACATGGCAAACAATACAGACGTAGACGTGATGATGACCAAGTGGATAGCCTAACACGTTGCTACACACCTTGACAGTGAGACACGAAAAGTGACAGGTTGCAAAGCTATACTTAAAGTTACTGTCAGTGACAAATTGCCAATATCCAACAGTTTTAAAAGAGAGAACCTAAGAGAGAGTGATGATAAGTAAAGGTTAAGAAGTATCAAGAGTACAGATTTACCTGCTTTGTGCTTCTTGTTTGGTCCTTGGTCCTCTGAGTTGTTTGTTCGCTTGGTTGCCTCTGCGAAAAATAAGAACTCTTTGAGCATACTAGACCATGTCAACCACTTATGTTCCTAAACCACTTATTTCTCTCTTATTAGACATTCAGATAATATATGACAGGATGTATGTTAAGAGTTGCTCCATGCTAAAATTTCCAACTGATCAAACAGAGACGCCCTCCACCACAGATTGGAATGATTTCCTTTTCTAAGGAAGTATCATTTGGATAGGAAGTCCTGAGAAATTGTAGCCTCCTCAGCCTAGCAGGTTATGAGATATAAATTTTGGAAACTTTAGGTGTTTGAGTTCCAATTTTGAGTCCATAAGACGAAAGAATGTGAATATCACAAGCAAGAATCAACCGAATGACTTGAAAATTTAACTGAGGACTTGTATTGAGTTTTCCATTAAAGAGAAAATTAAAAATAAGAAATAGGACTCATAAAAATTGTGATTCTGACTTTGTCGTAAAAAAACTATTCAGAGGTTTATGGTATAGCATCTGAGGCAGACCAGCTTCAAAAGTAATTTTGGCTTTAAAATGGTTCATAAGGGATACTAAACAAGGGTGACATATAAAAATGATTGCTTGGTGAGTTTCTATATTTTCCTCCTCATGTGAAACTAAATTCCAATTCAAACAAAAATTTATAATTTTTTTGGTAAAACTATCATTACAATGGTGTTTTTAAAAATTTCTTAATGCAATGAAACTGTTTGTCTTCGCCATTTGAAAAGATAAAATGAGGTAAAAGATCACCCTATTTCTCAGATAGCAGAGTAGTCATGATAAACATATCCGCCCATATCATAGAAATCTCAGATAAAACATTAAAACTTCCTTTTTTCCCATTTTAAATTATTACAATCATGCAGTTCACTTATTCTCTTTTCTATGGTTTGCCCTCTGAATGAACGAGGTGCTTAAAACAGTTTGGCTGGAGCAAAGTATGATTTGCACAAGCAGTGTATTCTCCAACTGTGGCCAGGTGTTTGGATTCTTTTAAAGTTCCTCTAATATCACAAACTATGGAAAGTTGTTCTGAAAACTGACATACTGAGGACCAAAATTGGCCTGTTTGCAGGCAATGCTTTCTTGGGCTAGAAATTTTCAGGAATGGCAAACTTATTTTTCTTCACTACATTGAAAATAGTTCCACTTTTAAATGATTTCTAGTGGTTGAATTTGATTGCCATGATTCCAGATTATTTCAATCTTATTATACCCCACAGGAGTTCAGTTACGTTTTTTATGAAAGAAAGGGTTTCATTTACAAAATAAGGCATCAGATACATCAAATGCTTTGAAGACTTAACTCTTCACTAATTTTTAAGGCCAAAAGACATTTTACATTACCCTTGGTGTGAATTCCCATTTTTAAAGATGTATCATTTGCAACTTACCGCCATTTGGGAGTGGTCTCTTGGTGGACATAGAACCTGGAAAAATTCACATTGGATGAGGACCTTTACTATCTTTTTTTCTTCCTTTTTTTATGAGTAAATATTTTACAGTTAATGAGACTCTTTATACGCAAAATCAAGACAGAAATTTTGTTGAGCTGAATTATCATTACATTTCATCACTAATCATTGCTACTTATCTTCCATTTGCCATGATTAATTTTTAGGAGAAGTTTGTATAGACTTTTCAGTTCAAGTTTTCTCTTTTTAACTTTGATGATTTTCTTTTTAATCATACAGGCTTTTTAGGCCTTATGCAAATAGAACATTGATAAATACAGCATCTCTCATTATCAATCAATATGTACCATTGAGGAGGATAAGCAGAGGTGACTCCCAGTCCTGTAATGGTAATAATTTGATAACAAACTACAGTATATCTCAGAGATGCCACACTTGCAGGCAGAAGTAAAACACTTGGAAGTCATTTACATCATCTAGTAGGAAAATATTTGTAGGATTTCCAGAATAGGCCCGGCGCTCTGATCACAGACTTCTATTTTTATGGTTGCAAATGCCAGAGTAGAAAAAATAAAAAGATACATTGAACGCCAAGTATCAACATCTAGTAACAAAGGAGATATCACCCTTTGGTGGTGGATGACATCATGGACCCTATTTTCCAAAGGGTGATATCTCCTGTGATAAGTGAAAACCATGATTTCTTCCACGTTCCTTATATCGACCACAAATATGCTCTGTTTGCTTCCTCTGCATCACTGGTAAGAGGAAGGTGGAGAAAACATTGACTTATAACACAATCTAGACGGCGCACTAGGCCCGACTTTAGGCGGGAGAGGTAAGACAGCTAGGGGGTAAATCAGGGTGAAGACGCACCTTCAGCTTAGTTGATACATCCGGATTTACGAACGAAGTGTACCCTTATCAGGCACCAGCACTGGCAAGACTGGCATTTCCATTGTCTCGGTACATATCGCCGGTACACTTGCTGGGTTGCCTATCGTCTCGCCTGAAGGGACTCTAGTCTCGCCGAAATTTCCTAATGCGCGGTCTAGATTGTATTAAACGTCAATGAGAGAAAACCATGGTTAACACTTCTCAGTGGATGTCATTATCCAACTTATTTTTTGAAAGGTAATATTTTCCTTATTTTTGAACACAAAAAATTACATTTAAACATGTTCTAGCGTGATGAAATTTGCACTTCACCTTCTAGTTCCTTATATAAATAGGAATTAGGGCAAGTGAAGGATTATTGATTGATAAGTAAAAGAGTAAGATTTAGTATTAGTGTCATCTATAAAGAGCGGGAGCACTGTGTATCACTAGATTAGGAATTCTTTAACCCCCTTACCTTCTTATAACACTTTTGTAGCATAGATGGGCATCGTTTAGAACATAAAAACAAAATGGCCCAACATTTTTGTGGACACTCCTTCCCCCTAGATGATTACAAAGCTTAACTTCCATATAGCATCCATCAACTTTATACTGACAAAGATGGGTAGACAGTATACCAATGTATTGCTTATACAATTTTGATTATTCATTGCCATATCGACGGTGTAAGTCGGCAATCACATAACTCGGTTTGCGACGTCGCAGACTTCCTGTCATACTTACTTTATTTTTTAAACGGAAAACTACTTAACGGCAATTCTCTAAAATTGCCGGGAATCTGATTCTCTGTGCAAAGACAATTCTGCATAAACTTCAAGGAATGATGTCAATTTGTTCTCCTTTGAGAAAATAACGTAGAGGCGGAGATTTTCAGACACCGCAAAGGAGTTATGTGATTGCCGACTTACACCGTCAATATGCTTTTTCCCCAGCATTTGATGTTCTGAAAAATACTGAACATTATACGTAAGTTAAGCATCATTTTGAACGAATGAATTTTTTGCTTACCCTTGGGTAAAACACAAATGTATGTCCTCGAGCCCCATCCATCTTGCGGGGGGAATAGGCCATTATCCACACAGCGAACACCACGAGTAGAACAATTTTCTGCTCTGAAATTCAAACCAGTAGCACCAGGAAACTGAGCTGATAGTGTTGAGAGGCATAAAGTTCCATCTTCTTCAGCAGGTAGTTCTATAGGTTCATCACCTTCCTCTTCAACGACTTGCACAAACACAGCCATGCCTCTGATCTAAAGAGAACATGTGCAAGATCAGTTTTAGCACAATAAAGATAGGAAATTGTTCTTCGTACACACTTGTCCTACTTAACGGCTACTCACGCAGATATGTAACGACGAACAAGAAGTCAAGAACACTGAAAATTTAGAATTACACAGAGAAAATTGAAGCGGACGTTTCGGATTCGGATTTGAAGTTGTTCGGTTAGGTTAGGTTAAGAGTGTTAAGACTTAAGTTGATTTGTAACGGTCTCTGGTTTGGTCGAAGTTGCGTGCGATATATCACATCGATTATGTAAAAAATGTCGGTAATTTTTAAATGTTTGATAAAGAAAGGACAATAGGCGTTGGGCATAAGCCTAAAACATAAATCTAATCCCAAAAATAGGCAAAGTTCAGAGAAATGAAAGCAGAATAGCATTTGGAAGAGAACCGCTCGTTCCATACAGTTATCGATTGCTGTATCGAATGCGACTTTTTTTCCAAACAATATTCTACTTTCATTTCTTTAATTTTTGGGTTTAGAATGATTATGTAAGGTCATGCGCAGGGGGTGAATATTGTTTTTGGCTAAAAATTCAAAATCTGCCGAAATTTTTGCCTAAATAGAATGCGACTTCGACCGAGTTGATACCTTGACGAATCAGGAGGACCACATATAAACAAATGAGATTGGCCCTCTCCTCACCCCCCCACCCCCCCTCCCC